TGTTGTGTTGGCTCAATATGAATTATTTTCTTTTCATTATAACAAAGACTTAACAGAGTCTAACCAGATAGACATAATTTCCATGAAGCTAAAACCGAAGTTCCCATGAAGGCCTACTGGTATTGAACCAGATTATAGTCAGCAGTATTGATCATCAGGACAGGAAGTGAGTAAATTATGCACACACACACACACACACACACACACACACACACACACACACACTGTGTTGACCCCTGTCTGTGTTTGCAGGTCTTCTCGGGGCTCTGGTGCCGTGTTGTTTAGACCTGAGTTTGGCTCACCAGTACGGCGAGTGTCTGTGGACACCTTTCTTACCAGGATCCACGTTTGCCATGCGAGTCGGGATCAGAGAGCGGTACAAGATAAGGGTGAGTGTGTGTATACGTGTGCATGCAAAAACACATTTGTCACTGGGAAGAAAAGAACGACCCCAAAAACACAAACAGAGAGATTTCACAAAGTGGTTCCAGCTCATAAAAACATCACAATAAATCTTTTTAACAAAGAGACTGTAAAGGTGAGAGAAAAAGGCTACAAGTGAAAGAACAGCATTGTGTCTGTTTTATAAGTTGTAAGAGTGAATTTCTATGATTATGTTTTTATGTCTTCTCATGATCCATTAACCTCACGGCTCTGGATGTGTCCTTGCTGCGTTGTTTTGTCTGCTTCTTCTCTGCATGTGTTTTTGTGTGAGCCCGTGCATGTGTGTCCACAGGGAAGTGTGTGTGAGGACTGGACCACAGTGTACTGCTGTTACCCTCTGGCTCTGTGTCAGATGATGAGAGAGATGAAGTGGCGGATGAAGACTCAGACGTATCATGTGTCCACTGCCCTTGAGTGCTCCTGAGGAAACCCTAGACAGTAAATGAGGCTTTTCCTTCTTACAATGCAGCAGAGAGCATTGAGGACCTGCTGAGATTACTGGAACTAACAGCAAAAGAATCAATACTATAAGGTTTGAACTTACTCTCAAGTCCCCTCTGAGGACGCCTCGGACAATAAATCAAGCCTGCATGTTCACAGAGGACCTGAGAGGGTGAACTGTGATTTATGGGGTAAACAATCGCAACTTGAACCTTCTTTTAAACTGCTTGTGTTTCAAGACGACACCATGACTGTATTCTACTTTCCTTTCAGAGGCCATGGTTCGTTAACTAAATTCTAATTGAGTGAAAAAAAGCAGGTGGTAAGACACATGTTTATTTGGTTTTTATTGTGAGCAAATAGCACTAAACATCTGATGAAACTCTCAGTGAAATACCAGCAACTTAAAAAGAAACGATTTTATTTGATTTCCAAAACCGTGTCTGTTTGTTTCTTGGTTTAATTTTGCGACTGATCCAATTTCTACAGAACTTGGTGGAGGGAAGTTTGGTAAGAACCCATTTTCTTGCAGAAGCAGATTAAAGAACAGATCCAGTTCTTTAATCACCTTCTTTAAACTTTTTGTGAACAAACAACACCCAGTTTAGAGCACATACCTTAATTATTTTCATCATATGTAACCATATTTAATTAAGACTTTTATTTGGATCTGCACCTTATTATACACAATAAATATCAGTCTCCTAAAGTTTCTCTGAGAAATAAACTAAATGTTTGGCCACACCCTGATCCAGATCTGCACCAACATTTAATAGGCTCTTCCTGGGTCATTCCCCACTAACAAACAAACTTTAGGTTACTTGACCGCTTCCTGTTTCCTGTTATGTTTCTACTGTAACCAGACAAGCATGTGTTGGATGTTTCAGCCTTGGTGGATCCATATGGGCTCGTCTGAGTTCCAATGTATTTCTCAACATATTCACATCTTAACCAACACGAGGCGACACTTGAACAGCTGAAACTCAAGTAAGCAGCTTTATCTGCTCATCATTGTTACAATAAAGTCATAATTAAAGTCATTAAACTCAATTGTATTGAACATTTTCCGTATGTTCACAAACTTGACAGACTACAGTTCACCCAAACCTCAGAAGATTTCTGCTCTCCCTTAACGGTGTCTATGCAGGCTCACTTTCAGTTGTATTTTATGTCATTCAAAGAAGTAACATGTTTCATGCTTCTCAAAAAAGTGAAAGAATTTGAAAACTCAGTAGCAACACACCGTTCTAAAAACACTCTCCTTCACCCTCTCTATATTTCATAAAGGTCACTGCCGACAGTTCACAAGGACATTTTCTTAGATAGCAAGCGGTACAGATGAGGTGAGTGCAAAATCTCTGATTTGTGTGAAATGGCCCCTTTAATTCTGTCTCGCATGCCAAAGGTCACCAGACACATTAATGTGTTCCGTCGCCCTCAGATATGAAGGGAAGATGAAGTGAGGGAGCATAAAGCTTTCTTAGACCTTGGAAAGCTAACTGTGAATCAGGAGAGTCCACATGAGGGATAATAACTACAGATTAGAATAAGAAATCGTATTCTTAAATTAGACATAAAGCCAGAGAAAGCTGCGTGTCACTTCAGTTTGATAGAAGTAGTCACTCGGCTTCTTAAGCGTTAATACAGATTTATTTGCGCAGGATGAGACAAGTGTGCAGGTTCTTTCCGTATGCAGACCCACCTGTCTTACCCGAGCTCGGATTACAGTCAGCAGTTCAAGTACAGTCTGAAGATAATAGAGCCGATTTCCATTTTCTGTTATTCTTTTTATCCTGCTGTTCCTCGGTTCACCCTCCGGCATCCAATCATGCTATTAATCCAGTTCTGATTGCTGTGATCCCCCCGAACCTGAAATGCCAACCAGCGAGAAATGCATATGAAAATGTTATTTATACACAAAGCAGATGGGTCCTCAAAGGGCAAATATGTAATTTGTTAACTTCTACAGATGTGGTCCCCTACCTGCCAGCTGCTTTAAATGGAACGAGGGGGGGGGGGGATTGGATCAATGTCAGAAAGAAGGGATCAGTGAAAAAAAAGATGATATTCTACATGAACTCATCAAGTAGTTATTCTGCTGAATGGAAATAAATGGTTTCAAACCAGTTCTCTACCATAACTAATACTGCAGAATGATGCTTAATGCAAAGGTTAATTAACACTTCCATGCGAAGACAAACTAGAGGAACAGTCTGAACATCTCCAACAAGGCTGATCGCCACTTTATCATTGCGTTTACATGTATTGAAACCAGATCGTTACCTAGTTACGCACCAAATTGCACTTGTTTATTAACAATTTAAGAATGCCAGATTCTTTTCAGGAATCATCTCTGCATTATTACCTCTGCAAAGGAGGTGTACGTTTTCATCTGTGGTTGTTTGTTAGTAGGATTATTCACCAACTACTGGTGGAAGGATGTAGTGTGCGTTTCGGATCAGGCTGAAAAGCTTTTTTTTGTACTTTAACAGTTCAAGACAAGTAGTTTTTCTTTGATTTCTATGATCTATATGTGAACCTCGATACAAGGTTCAAATAAAGTTAGTGGGTTTGTATAGATGAGTCCTATTTCGTGCAGACCCAGTGGATTTAAATATGGTTTCATAAGGGTGTAGGCTTTTTCACCCACTGTAATGAATGGACTGTACACTGTAACGCCCACCAATATATAGCTGAAAACGTAATTTGGCTTTAGCTATAAGCTATGTCCCCTGATTGCAACTCCTCCAAAAGTTAATTGATTCCTAACTGGCAAACCCTTCCACAGTTTTTAAAGTTTATCCGAATCCGACAACAGCAATGGAAGGTTGGTGGAGGTAAAAACAATTCCTGCACCATTTGAAGGCAGTGGTCTGCATATCATTTCTGCTGCTAGTTTTAGAGAGGAGACCACTTTGCTTTACCTCATGAGGTGTTTTCACCCACCATTTTATGTCCCTCTGTGGACATTTTTAATCAGACGATCAGCCGCAGCCCATTTCATACTCCTGTGTACTCGTGCAGATCAAAGAAACATCAGCAGACAAATAAACAGTTTGCAATTCCAAAATTCCCAGATGAAAATCATTCTTAAAATATGTTCTTATCTTTGTTGCCCAATTATGCAGATTCTAATCATACTGATTATACCCAGAATAAACTACAACACTCTTCTGTATGTTTCAAGATTATTACCAGGGTAATAAAGAATGGTTTCATACTGATATGTGCAGTCGCCTCCAGTGTTTCCACATCAGTCCAGGATGGATAAACGCTCCTGCAGACCCTCTGTTCTCTGTCTACTGGGGGTTGTTAGCGAGCAGGATGTGCCTGGAGCAGAGCTGCCTTCAGGCATTGTGCAGCATCTTCCCCTCCCTGTGCAATAACCAGATTATATTACTTCAGCATCACTGCCTCTGAATTGGGTTGTGAAATTGGAAAACTATTTGCTTTGCAAGTCAAATCCACACACTCCTTCAAACAGTATATCTATATTTACACACCTTTTTGTTAAGTACATAAGGACTTATTACCCGCAGCTCTAAGCTCTTTCCAAATTAGTGACAGACATTAAAGCCCACATTTAACTGAGTGCCAATAACTTTTTCAGGTCACCATAAAAGTCTGTGGTCCCCTCAGCCAAACCACAGGACAATCTACAGACCTTGTTGTTAACAGCTTCATTCGAACGTCTTACAAAAGAAATGGTCCCAAAGGAAACTGGACATCTGTAGCTTATCCAGAATGATGGGGGATGTTGTTTCTCTGGAATCAGATACTATTGTTGGACCTGCCAGCTTTTTGCTGTGAGCACCATGAATACAATCCCTCACCTCCTCTGCTGTGGTGGAACCTCAGAGGCTAAAAAGTCTATATTATTACAAAACACATGCACGACTTCTGAGGCATTACATTGACTTGATTTCTTTAAATCTTATTCTAACCATAACCACATTTATTACATGCCTAACCCCCACCCTAACCTGAAACTTAACCTGAAATCAAGTCTTCACCTAAGCATTGAATGATTTACATTACGGAGACTTACTTTTTGTCCCCATATGTCCCCGTAGGTCCCCATATTATATGAACAGATTTAGGTCTGTGGTATAGATGTCTCCACAATATGAGGAATACCTGGATGTTTGTACTTCTATCTTAGTGAGGACACTCATTGGCATAATAGATTCTCTATTGCCCTTTTAACCTAACCATAACTATCCAAACTAAATGCCTAACCCTTACCCTTACCCTTATTCTAACCCTTACCCTAAAACCAAGTCTTAACCCTCCACAGCCCTTTGAGGAAGTGTCCTCACTCTGTAGGGTCTATGCTTAAAATGGTCCTCACAAAGGTATAAGTACAGGAACACTGAGCCTGGCCTTACGTCATCTCTTTCAGACACATGTCCACTTGTGAACCATTAGAGGGCAGCGTTGCCCCAGATCTGCACCCCTGTTTGCCCGTATTCTCCTCCAGCAGCTGCTCAGTGGGGTAAAATTAGTCTTTAGTGCTGATCTTGGGTCAGAGTCTGGATTTCCGCGGCAGTAGTGGAGGTCAAGATTTGGAAGAGCAAAGCCCATCCCAAGTCAGCAGTTGGACAGGGACCATAAAACTTCTCGTGCCACGTAAGCAGAAAGACGACCATCCCTACAGAGGCATCAGGTGTAGAGTACAGGCTGTTATGGACAACAGCCCCTTGGGGGTGTTGTGTTTTTTGCGTGGGTGGGGAGGTCTGATGTATGCAGATGTATCCAGACAGGCTCTCCCCATGACTGTGTTCTTCAAGAACTCATACAGAGTGTTTGTGAGGAAAATGCAAACCATCACACAGGCAGAAACACATCACTCCCTCCCATGTTGAATGGAATTGTTATTCCGCGTTGGAATAACAATGTGGAGTGTCTGTGGTTTCCCAGATGACACACTGGAATTTGTGAAATGTATTTTAACATATTCCTCTCTCTCTCTCTCTCTCTCTCTCTCTCTTACCTTTCCCTTTCTCCGATCGGCAAACTTGTATTTCCTCTCCTTAAGTCTTTTCATCCTTTTCCTCTTTCCTCCGATTCACCCCATAATCTTTCCCTCCTTTCACTTTTCCTTTATTGCCTCTTTTCATTTGTTTCCTTTCTTCTTCTTTTTAAAACTCCTCCTTGAGAGAGAGAGGGAGGGAGAGAGAGAGGGAGGCCTGCTAAGCTGGAGCTGTCGTCCCCCTTGTGATACTTCTATCCAGGACAACAAGCACCACCTGGGGGTTTACATAACACGCACGCACACACACACACACACAC